ATAAGATAAGAAAATGTATAGAATGTAAATTTAAATTCTTAATTAAATATGTTTAAATTCATGTATCCATATCTTATGCTAAGGGTTGTTAAACATTACATAATATGAACTGCCTATTAGGACGGTCGGTGACATGTATAAAAGTATTATTTATTCTACCCCATTTTATGGATTAAATTTTACAGTATACAAAACGTCAGCACTCTTTCAGTAAAACAAAAATATTATTGTCATAGAATATTTTTTTTGAAAAAATAAATATTAAAATGCACTTCTGAGTATCAAGTTGTATGATAATATAAAAATAAGCACTCCGGTAATTCAGTGGTAAGCCTGAGGGTTTACAACGCTTAAGATCTGGTTTCGATACCCGCGGTGGGTATAACACAGATATAGTGCTTAACAATATGTAAACAAAATATAAAGATAAAACTGTTCACAGCAGCATGAAATCTTGCTTTCATTCATTATGTGAATGATGACTAAATAATATAATAATTCGAAGGTCTTTACTACTTTGTAACTATGAAAAGTAAAAATACCCAACAGGTGAGTTATTATTCAGAAATAAATTCCTGAACAAAAGACATTAAGCTACAGGTTCTGACTTTAAATGCAAGTTTTTCTTCTTATTGGGTAATACAAAATAATTAAGTTAAACATATCAATTTCTTTAAGGCACACTGTACTAGTATATTAACGATAAAGAACAAAAAACGTCATTTTTGTCTTTTACTCTCATTTTCTAGTTAATTATAATAATATATACAAATTTAAAGTAAAATTCATATCAATCATTAAAAAATTAAAATTTAAAAACAAATCGATCATTATTTTAAAAAAATCATTAGGATCAGAAAGAAAGATTGCCCACTTTATCATACAATTTCTTTGTTCATTCATTTCTTTAGTTTTTTTTATTGTAAGTTGTGCTAATATAGGATATCTTCTTTAAAATATTTTTAAAAATTGGCTTTCATATATATAAATGTTTAATTGTAAATTGTAAAAGGGTAAGCATTGAATTCGAACTTAGAGGATATGTCACTATCATTTTATAGTTGTTTGCTGTTTCATCTTTTAAAATTATATAATTTCATAAATGAAAACAAAGTAAAGCATAAAAAGCTATAAACATATCAGTATCAACTACAAGTTTCAAAATACCATACAACAAACCCTTGCTGTTTATTACTTATACAAATACGTTTATATCCTTATTTATATATAATAACTGAGCTCTATATATGTACGATAACTGAGCTATGTATATATATATATATATATATATATATATATACAACAGTCAATGTCTGTTTGTCACACTCTGTATCTCCTGAACAGTTAATCGTAGGAAAAAATACATTATATATATATATATCGAAATGTTTCTTTTCAAGATCACATTACAAGAAAATTATTAATTTTTTTTGCAATTCCTAAAATTTCATATCGATATCAGAATCGATCCATCAGTCTTCGTATGTACTGAACGGTAAATGTTCAGTCTGAGAAAAATTGTTTTTTTTTTCGTGATGGGAATTCACGAAAAAAAACCCAACAAAACTTCGTCTGTCGGGAAAAATGCATAAAGAGAGGAACGAGTTTTAGCATATCTATCTATCTATATATATATATAGATAGATAGATAAATATATTTCATGTCTATATTATATACATGCATGATTTTATTGTACAATGTTGAATAAATTGATTTGAATTGAATATCTCCTCTTTGACACTTCTTATAAAAATGACAACTGTCAAAAAGCGCTCATTTTGGTAGCAGGAACGGTGGCATCCAGCGTAAAAAATCCTCGCGACTAATTAGCGAACCTGAGAACTCTATTATGCTGGATGCACACTTTGCATAGGAACACAAACATTTTTGCCAACAATGCGTAGTAGTCAGTCTCCTTTGCTGTTACTTATTGAACTAACACATAAAATGACAAAGTAAATGGCCCATTACACACTCATATTGCATATACGCTATGATCCATTTATTCATCACTAATTTTTAGGAATTTTACTGATGAATTATTTCAATAGGCATTTGCTAGTGTATTATAAATTCGACAATACTACTAACTAACATAATTTTACACAAAATCATCAGTTTGAATAAAAAATATTCTCAGTCGTTTAGTCTTCACCTGCTGATGTCATTTTTATACTTTGTTTGAGAATTTAGTACAGAAGCACATAAGGACTATCTGCGTGTAGCTGTTCTTAATTTTGAACTTATAAACCAGAGGGAAGGTAGTTAGCTAGTCGTAAGCACTCATAGCCAACTCTTGCTGAACCTTTTCATAGATGGTGTCACTGGAGAACTGTGTAGAAGTTTAGGAATACCTAAAGTTATGTTCTTCCTGTTTTTACTTATTGGATGACCAAGTGAGGTAGATGAACAAGTAAACTTTAAGAGAATTGGCCTTACTGTGATAAATCTATATAATTAAAAGAGTAATGTGCATGTGTGCATGCATGGGAAGTTTTTTGATCTTCGTTAAACTATGCACAAAAGAAATTAGGGGCAGGGAAGTATGGAGACGTCACCATATGTGCGTGGGAAGCTTTTTAAACTTCATTAAACTATGTAAGAATGAAATAAAGAGGAGGGAAGTACTGACGACGTCATCATATGCGAAAGGGAAGGGTGGGTGTAGATAGTACTATAAAATTGCCTCCCTTAAAGCCCCATCTCAGACAGCAGTGGTTAGATGTTAAAGTTTTGTGTGTGAATTTTTTCATTTGTTTACATACACTTAAAGTATGGTACCGTCAACCTGTTTAGTTTTAAAACTTACCCACAATACTGAGGTTGTGAAAGTTTCGTTAGATCTGGTGTCTTTTACTACACAAATCGATTTGTTTGTCATTTTTGATCAGACCATTTAGCTCAAAGTGTCTTTTGTACTAAAGGTGTTTGGTTGGTATCACGTTTTGTAGAATTGGGTTAACCTTGCACGGCCATCAGATTCGTTTCATAATTCTAAGTACCTAACCTCACACGCGAGTAGTCTAGGCAAGTCACTTAACTGTTTTAATTACGTTAAATACAAACCACTTCATTTTGTAAACTTTGTGCATCAAAATACAAAATACCACAATCAAAGAAACGCTTTGTACGTCAAGCACGAGTTCCCCTTAATATCTACATAAATAAACGTCAATATGTGTGTGGGTATCTGTTCTTCACACGTTTCCACATTTCTTGATAAATCAGCACCAAACTTGACACAGTGATACAGGATGACATGAGGAAGGTCATGGGGGGGGGTTGAACCCCCATCTAATTCCATATTAATAGACGTCTTGAAAACAGTATGTCTTTCTTTTCATTATTGGTACCTTTATGTATTTTTATTGCACTTTTAATGTTTGTACTGTAAGAAACAATAGAAGCACAATTTCCTATCCTCCAACGGATACTCCAGCTAGTATATATATATATATAAACCGGTTAATTCTCTCATTCTTAATCAGATATTCTGCTTCTAATACAAATATCTCTCCAGATTTGAGAGAAAGGTGCTGTACAATTCTGTTCACTCGTTAGATTTTATGTGTGTTGTAAATAAACAGATAACTAATTTCATTCTGTTTACATTGTGTTCATTCTCCTTTCTGCTTCTTCAAATCTTCTATTTCAGGCAGAATAAGTGAGAAGACCATACTGACTCAATCCAGGATCCTCACATAACCCGATCACTTCCAAATGACGTTTTTGAAAAGTTAATGAAAATTCAACCACTTATTGTAACAAGAGAAAAAGAGAAAGTTGGTGAAAAACAAACATCACTTTAAAAATTCATAGTAAGAGTGGAACCTAGAAATATTATGGTGGAGACGGACTTTTGCATCATCCTGAATAAAGACAGAATAGGTAAACTAGAGCAGTCTTGACTCTGTCTTGAAGGTATTTGTGAATTATTCAGTTAACACAGCCAAATACATAAAGATAATGATGTCAGAGTAGGAGTTTGTTTTTAACTACCAGAACATTTTAACAAGTTCAGCTGCACCCAGGAGACAAGAAAGATAGTTCATGCCTTGTTTGTCTAAAAGGTTCTCTATGCTTACAATGTAATTATGAGTATAGAGTTTTAGTTTTCCAAACAAAATGAATAAAACAGTGTGAAACAGTTTCTGTTTTGTTGTACCTTGGATAAAAATGACAATTACAGAACTGCATCAGAAAAGAAACGCTTTCGGATAGCGGATTCTCCTTCATCAGGAGTAAATAGAAAATGCTATTTCTCTGTGAATCAGCACTGTGGTTTCCAAGCTGTGGCTAACTCGTTCATTTGATTGCATCACAAGAATAATTCTTATAGTTCTATATCAACTGAATATTTACAGTTTCATGAATTGCGTTCCCGTTAAACAATAGATATAGATTACTGAATCACCACGGCGAACTGTCTCCTAACCGTTTCATAAGTCAAGTCACCCTAACTGGCATTTTGTATAATGAGACCAGATAAATCGAAAAAAAAAGTAATTAAATCATTTCTCAATCGACTGAATTAGGAATTAGCACGTGGTAAACAAGAAGGTTATCAAGTTACACAAACGGTTTCAAGAAAAAAAAGATGAGAACATTTTAGAAATATAAAACACAGTGTTGCTTATGCACTACTGTCGGTTAATGAGCTTAAGCTGTCTATCATTTCACACTGACAGGCGTCCCCTACCCTTTTCGTTTCATCTTAGCTGTGATACTTTGTTTTCAAAAAAAGAAAGTTTAAAAATTTCGCTTAAATATAATGCTTATCAACTGATCTTGGAATTGTATAAGAACTTCCTATCTGGAGTCTACGTTTCTGTTAAAAATGAATAAAAGATTGTTTGGAAACGTTACAGCCCTAGCTCGCACCATATGAAACACCAATGAAAAGAAAAATGCTATTTTTACATTATAGTGATGTGTCATATTTCTGATAGTGGTCAAATATGTTTTTTTTTTAAGTTATACAAATTTACTACCAGCTTACCTGGCAGCAACGTGCAATACAGTGGCTCCTTCATTGTCCCTATCCCATAAAGTACAGTCAGTGTGTTTCAATAGCCACACAAGGGCGTTTAGTTTCCCCATGGCTGCTGCGTCGTGTGCTGGTGTGGCGCCAACAAACGACCGGGTGTTTGCTCTCATTCCACATTTCTTCACTAAAAATTCCAACACTTTGAGATGACCTCCACGTGCTGCAAAATGAATAGATGAGGCACCAAAAGCATCTTGGATATGAGGTGCCAGTTGATGGTTCTTGCGAAGCATTTGAAGTCGTTGTAAATCTCCTTTTTTAGCCGCCTCTAGGGCGCTGTGTAAGGGCGCTTTTGGCATTCTTCGTACTCTCTGTTACTCACTTCCTACTTAACTTTAAGACTCTAAAAGAAATGGGAATAGCCATAATAATATTAAACATTACATAAAATATGAACTCCTTAAAGTAATAACAAATGGAAATATAGTTTACAAAATTTAAACATTGACATTTTATATAGCTGTTCATGGGTTATCATCGCAATACATTTCAAAACCTGATAAATAACGTATATAACCTGTAACATAACTTGAATTTCTTTGGTCAAATTCAATTAATATTCTACACCAGGACCAACTAATATGTTCTATCACATACAAGGGCGGATACAGGCCCGCTCCCCCCCCCCCCCGTTTTGAAAATAAAATCAAAATAATTGCAATAATTGGATCTTTGTGGAGGGGTGAAGGGATATTTCATATTTAATTCAAAAAAAAAAACAACAACAACAACATCTACCAAACATTATAACAAATATAAATAACCCATTCAACCCCTACCAGGGAAGTCCCGAAAATTCCTCGTTTCCGTTCAGAATCACTGCGCCCCTCCCTTTTAAAAATCCTGGATCCGCCACTGACATACGCTATATATATCTATAAATTCAATAAATTTATATTATTAGCCACTTTTAAATTTAGCTACTATGAATTGATCAGATTCAACAGAGTACAAGTTATTACCTTACCCTAATATATGGGCCTTGATTACTGACCGGCCATTTTATTAGGACACGCACATAACTAACCAGGCGATTACTTTAGTCCTATAAAAGCAGAGTCAAAGAATATAATGGTTAGTCTGTAGGAAAAAAGCTAAAAACAATGATATGTCTGACTTTCAAAAGTATGTTCATCACGTGCCGTTAATAAATCCATTTCTTTGACTAGACATTCAGAGACAATTACAAGAGAATATTTCTTCCATTAGGAAAAACTTTGGCTGATCAACCCTAGTGATATGCCAAGAGGTAAAAAGCAATTTGACAGGCTTGTAAATCGCCACAGACAATCAGACTGTATCTCAATTGACTGATTCATGTAACAACGGTCAGGATTCGACTGTACCATGCAAGGGACATTACAAAAATTGTCAAACAACAGACAGTCAATACAGCAGCTTATCTCAGATGCAAACAATAAGATACAACTTCAGTGACACTTAAGAGCAAAAACTGTGGATTATGAATGACTTGAAGCATGTGATGTGGTTTGATAAAATATATTTCACCATTTTATATACTAACGGTTAATTTGAAATATGAAGAAACCATATGAGGCCTTTTACTTTGCTTGTATTATTCCAATAGTGTAAGCAGCTGGAAGTGATGTAATGGTGTGGGAACGTTCTCATGGCAGGTTTTGAATCACTTGTTTCCTTTATAAGGGTGAATGATTTCTATAGTGTTCATTCCAAAATGTACGATGTACACTCCAAGACGATAATGCAAAAATTCTACATGGATTTATTGTCTAAAATTCATTCACCTAGCATGATAATGACCGCAGCATGTTTTCTTGGCAACGACAAACATTTTCAATCCAGTTGAGCGTCTTTGCGGAAACCTAAATATCACACTTGACCTCTGTCAACATCGGTGAAGCAAATTTAGACCACACTCCTCGACAAAATATACTACAGTCGATAAAGATACCTTCTGATAGCTTTTGAAGCCTATGCCACGCCGAGTCCATATATTCAATACTTAAATATAATTAATCCCAGCACTCTGTGTTTGATCTAAATTTCATAAAACTCGTCCTATCTTAAGCCGAAGTAAAATGTGTACTAAACCCCGTCCAACTTCCTACTGATTCGTTTGTTTCGAAATCATACCGGTCACAGATTCTGTCAAAAAAATTTGCTCGTCAAACAAGTTCTAAATTATACGTCCAGGTTTCAAGATTTTTTTTTCATCTTTCACGTAGACAGTATAATAAAAAACAATCCATTGTAATACATATAAAAATGGAGAAACAGTTGTTACTGGAAAAAGTCTCTTTTCAGAAAGATCTGAACATATTGTAATTAATTATTTAACACATTATAGCATGAGGGCATGTGGCGATTTTAGTGTAATTCTCTGTATTTCTATTTCATATAGATAGTATAATAAAAAAATCCATTGTAATACATATAAAAATGGAGAAACAGTTGTTACTGGAAGAAGTCTCTCTTCAGAAAGATCTGAATATATTGTAATTAATTATTTAACACATTATAGCATGAGGGCATGTGGCGATTTTAGTGTAATTCTCTGTATTTCTACGTATTATTTGCTTAAAGTGTACATAAAATCTCAATAACTACGAGGTATGGAAAAATATAACATAAAAAAGTGATTGCTCTCTTGGCTGAAAACACCTAACTTCAGAAACAATACACATGACGTCATTTACCATTATGTTTGTTTGTTTCTTTGAAGTTAAGCACAAAGCTACACAATGGGTTATCTGTGCTCTGTCCACCACAAGTATCGAAACCCGGTTTTCAGCGTTGTAAGTCCGCAGACATACTGCTGTGCCACTGCGAGGCATTGCCATTATGACTTACTTTAAAGCTGTGTAATTTAAAAAGGATTAACTACGGTTAGTATTGTGTCTACGATTTCATATACATAACTACATTTCTATTTCTTATGTTTATTTCTTAGACAGAGCTATAGAATATTTTTTTCCCAAATATATAAGTTAGAGTAATATCTTTAAAAGTTGACTACAATTACATGGCCTTTTGAAGTATTCTACATGAATGCTGGTAACATACAAACGGGTGTTCTGTGATTATACCCGAAACAACGTATAACTAACGGCTTTTTTTCTACCATTACATAATACAAATATCCTGGTTATCAATAAGCTAGAGGTTTGATATCCTCACAATGAAGCATTCTTACTCTTATAAATAAGATAAGTTAGCCACAAATAACATAATTGATTTTCTACCCTTTTTACTTAGACATTCTGTAGTTTGTTACTTTAACTACGGTCCCCAGCAAGTCGGTGATAAGTGTACAGTTTTAGCACGCAAACATCCATGTTTCGATTCCCCTCGGTGGATAGTGCGCAGGTCACCAACTGCGCTAAATAACGCAAAAATCTTTCAACGCTTTTCTACATCAACGATAGTGTTTTTAAGTTAACATTTTGTAGTTTTTCACCGAATTACTTCAGTACATTCACTATAATATTCTACAATAGTGAACACTTTTTTAGTTTTAGCTTTATTTCCTTTTATTATAGATTATTGTCCACGAGCAGCCCTTGGGTGAGCGACGTGTGCCCACGCAATTCCACAGGGGCAGGGATGCCGAATACAAAATTCGCACAGGCCACAATTTTGCCTAGGTCCGATTATGTTCTTGTAATCTTTAGTTTGCTTTATTTTTGTTATAAATATTTGTCATTAGTGTTTGTCCTACTTCTATTATAAATATTTGTCATTATTGTTTGTTCTACTTTTATTATAAATATTTGTCATCAGTGTTTGTCCTACTTCTATTATAAATATTTGTCATTATTGTTTGTCCTGCTTCTATTATAAATATTTGTCATTATTATTTGTCCTACTTCTATCATAAATATTTGTCATTATTCTTTGTCCTACTTTTATTATAAATATTTGTCATTATTGTTTGTCCTACTTCTATTATAAATACTTGTCATTATTTTTTGCCCAGCTTTTATTATAAATACTTGTAATTGCAACTTGCCTTACTTCAAATGTTCCCAGGTATCACAAAAATTAAGTGATCAATCATTACTTAGTGTTGTGTCTCTGGTCAGTCTTTATTAATCGTTTGTTCAATATATCACAAATCGTGCTAATATTGCATTTGTATAATACAACACATAGTTTGTTTATATTTGCATTAGATGTGTTTGAAGCGTGGTAGTTTTGTAATATAATACATTTTATAGTAGTCAGGAACGTCGAGAGTCAGCAAGGGCCCCGGGGTAAACATCCTCGCCGGGTCCCCCTTT